GCATGCAATTCTGGTTTGAAAGCAAGTCTTTAAAAAGGACAAACGAGTATCGAGTCAAGTTTGCCTTCCCTCTTTTATGTTTTCTGATGGCTTTACATATATGCTCGGTTTCAGTCACCTGATCTACTGGCTACACACGATTGCTTGCGTAAACTGAGAGGTGACTAACCAAAACAAATATAATATTACGGAAAACTCCACCAGAGCGGGGGCATGAACAAGGACATCCCAGGCAAAAATGATCGTGCGAAAAACCCACAGCAAGATGTTTGCATTTCAGTATGAACTTCCCTTTAATTTCAATTTATGCACTTTTTCTAAATTTATGCACACAGGAAAAAAAACGCTGACGAAGGGTACAAAAATGAAATCCAAGACATGTCCAATGGCATACCAATAACTACTCGAGAATGATACTTTACACCTCGCGCGCTCACAGCACAAAATAGATAGAATTGAAATGAATAGAATTGGTCTGAAGGCGCACTGCTGGCAACCAAATGATTTAGACGACGAAACTCCGTAAACAATGCTTTGGGCCATGTGTGTAGAAACAGGGGGGGGGGGGGGGTCAGGGGGGGGGGGCATGGCCCTCCCACTTTTCAAAGTGGGGGGGCAGCAATGTTAACTGCCCCCCCCCCCCACTTTTCAGATTAAGTTTGCATTTGGCTTACTTTTGCACTACATTAAATATGCATGCCGATTTACCTAGTTCACCAACCCTCTCCCTTAAGACGCGTCATCTTTTTCGTTTGCTCATTGGCCATCGCTTGTTGTTACAGCCGCAAGGCCGACGCCGCACAGCCTGGAGACTCAACGTCGGGCGTCGAAACTGTTATTGCTATGAATTGCGAGCACGCATGTTTAACACCATATTACGTAGTTTTCTTATCAGTCATTAGCTCTGACAGGATCTTGAGCGTTTTAAGACGAACATGGGTTAGCCATGTTAATACAAACTGGGAGCCCCATTTCATCTACAATCTACAGATAGGGAGAACCCAAAATCTCTGAAGGACACAAAAAAAAACACGGATCTGGAGTCTATGTGACAACTATCGGACTACCTGCGGTGACCAGGGATGTTGTTGCGTTAATGAGGGTTCCTGCGCTGATCCGGGGCTAACTGCGCGGGTCAGATGGCCTCCCGTGTCAGGGATGAGAACAATGTGCCATAATGTATCCTTTTAATGGCCTCCGGATCGACCAGGAGATCCCGCCCCGTGCCACCAGAATGATAGCCAGAAGACGCTTCGCGATTGGATCGATAATGTACCCCTGGTGTTCTTCTCAAGAGGCCCCTTACTCGGAAGGATATAAGGGGTCTCATTATTGTTGAGTAGAGTGGGGCTGTCATTACTGTTGAATAGCGCGGGTCGAAGTGAATTTTTAAAAAAACCAGCAAGGTCATACCATGTTTGCCTGAGACCGCTCATTTTCTCAGGATGTATTATTGAAACATATGACATCAAAAGGCTTGAACATGCCCGCCCGCAACCTCGAGAGCCAGAACAAGGATGGTCTAGGTTGCAACTTCCGTAAAACCGAAAAGTGTCGGCCACTGCAAGTGCCACCAGACGGCGGGTGTCGTGTTAACCTGTCTTCTGTATAGATAAATAGCTGCGAAAACACGAAAAATGTATATTTTTCCTTCACTCTTCTAGTTCAACCACCAGATTCCAGCTCCATTTCGTGGGGCTTTAGGGGCCAATCCGTTCTTTTAATCAGTCTAAAAATCGCACACGTGAAATACACGCTCAGGTTGCCTTCTAAATACACGATCTGGTATCATGAAGCGTCCAAGGATATTTTTTCACAAGGGTTGTCATTTTCGTCCACACGTTGGCTACAATTTAATATTAGTTGCTAGACCGACGCTGGGTGGCCCACGGAGAATGCAACGACTGGGGCCGTGTTTTTAGAATTTTCGAGTGCGCGGGCTCAAAATTACGTCACATAACTTGTATTACTAGTCGATTAAAGTGTTTAAAGGTAATTATTTTAGAAGCATCATCATTTTCGTCCATCGGTTGGCCACGGCTACGTATTAGCTATTGGGCTAAAACTCCGCGGACTACGGTGACTGCAACGCCTGGCGTCTAGGTTTTTTGTTGCTAAGATTTGCGAGTGCGCTTGTTAAAAAACACGTTGCATAAAATACATCACTAATCGATTCTGACTGAATGGTAAACATTTTCGGACAAACATGGCTCGGCCATGTTAATACAAATTGTTCATCACTCGATCTACGATCAAATTTTCATATTCAAATTTGGATCAAGCATATTGATCTACAATCTACCTTCGCAATGTCCTCAATATCTGTAGAACCCTGATAAAACATGGACAAAGCTCCTGAATTCTATCGGTTTAGAAAGTCAACTAACAATTGTAAGCTAAGAGTGCCGGTGATGTCTTCCACACAGTCTTTCAACGCCTGATTTCTGCAGTCTATTGACCTCAAAATGCAAACGGAATTGAGCTCACGGTAGCTCCTGGTTTCTGCTCCGGTTACAAGGTAAAAATAACAATAAAATGAAGGGAGCCGTGCCACTTGTTAGCAAGTAAGCCATATCAGGGGATTTTTTTTTTGGGGGGGGTATCACCGTAAGATAGACTTTTGTCAACCTTGTGTTCCTCCTCGGCAAGGATCTGGTTACGCCTCTGCATACACACAAAATCAAATCAAGTCGTATACGCTGCATGATGGGCAATGAAGTGTCCGTTGGGCCAATTCATACTTAAGGCAGGTAGCTTCCAGGAGGCTATTTTTCTGCGATGGTGTGGTGTGAGGGAAGATGATTCGAAAAAAGATACCGCTGCAGGTGTTCAACACCTGTTTCATACACCATGTAGCACTAACGCTGGTCCCAAAGTATGCAACAAAGCAGCCGTACGATCAGTTCGCAGTCAGTCATGCGGGAGACATCCGGGCCAGGGCTGTGGCTACCGACGGCAGACAGGAGCAGGGCCCAGATAAGGAACATGTGACAGATGGGCCTTGTTATGTGACTTGATTTTTAAGAGAGAATTTCCAGTTTTATGGCTTTTGTCACATTGTCTCTAGCAGTTTCAAGCTCCCGAATTTGTTTCCGCATAAAATGCTGCGGCAAGTCTTATCTTTTGAAAAGCAGCCAGCGAAATGAAAGCGCATGAAAAACCTGGCGCACTGTGAGCCATCGATCCGTTTCCAAAATTATCACCAGCCTATGTCCAGGCCGTATTTTGGCATATACGCTGTGGAGGCAGATGCTTCCTTAATGACCCAAAATACCTATCCGCTCGTGGAATTTCGCCTCCCCAGGAAAGACAATGTTAAAATGGATGAATAATCTAAGGAAGCTGGAAAACTTTATTTGCCAAATGACAGATGAGTTGAATAGGCCAGATTGTGCTCCAGTGATAAACAGCTCTAGATGCATATCTAGCATAACAGCCATGACATTTGAATAAAGAGCGATAACAACCTCCATCCCCCCTCCCCCCCCCCCGTTCATCGGGCTCACTTTCCGGAAAAAGTTCCTGAAGTACACCGTTAGCTTGGCCCCCCACTTCTTGGAACGTTCCTACGCCTATGCTTTGGGCATGGAAAAGGGCTCAATGATTTATTTGATGCACGCTATTGCGACGGTCGTCGGCGCCAGTGTCGGTACTCGTCATAGGCGATCAAATAACGGCCGATATCTGTGAGTTTGATGTTCACGACCGCGACATAGTTTCCGTTATCATTGCCATTTCCGGTGCCATCACCGTCTCCGAATATTATTTTGTTGGTACTGCTACCTTGCTATAGTATTCTGTTGGTATTGCTACCTTGCAATAGTGTTTTGGTGGTATCGCTACCTTGCTACAGGCTATCCTGAGCGCTGGCAGCATCTTAATCCGTGAGATGGGCCTTTGTGAGCGGCTTTTACCCGCTACATCAACAAATGTGTCATCCGCATCTCTGCAGTAGGTCTTGGGCGCGATTCAGGACCGGCCGCAACACTGCTCCCCATTTCACGCATGCAGAGGGCGGCGGAGAGCAGGTCATGCGAGGAGTCCATGGACGCTTCGACCCTTTGGCGATACGAATGTCCGTCGTGACAGATGACTTAAGTGAAAAGATTTTCGACAATTCCTCAAGCACAATCTCAGAAAGCTTGGATAGAGGAAAGTCGCCGTGCCGGTGCACCCTTTCGATATGATTTTAATATCTTCCACTGGTTCGTTCGTGCATAGGCTTTCAACGTCCAGCGACGCGAGTATACCATGTGCAGTCTTAGTCCTGGTGATATCTATAATGGACTAACTCATCGACTTCAGGCTATACTTGGATGGCACGCTCAGTGTCTAGAAGTCGTCTAGTTTCTTACTTAGTGGATGGCCTGGCATAGGTATGTGGGTGATTATCGGACGCAGCGCAAACTTTCGGAGTGTGCAATAACGCGTCCTCAAAGTGCAGTTGCGCCCCAAAAATTGTGGCTCCCTTTTCTCCTTGTTCGATGCTTGACTTCGTCAAGTTCCATACACGCTACTGTCCATAAGTATTGTCCGTCCCAATCCCGAGCTGAAGATTGGCCAAGGTAATTGCTAGTCAACACAAATTATTGTAATATTCTAAACCACAGGTGTCAAGCAGCGTGCCACTGAAATTTCAACACTTCAAGTCATTACCCAAGATTGCCCTCTCGGCGCTCGCCGGGAACGGAGCATTCAAGCACGCTCCGGAAACTCCTCCATGCGGCGTGGCAGGGCGGTGCGTCATCCCCGCACCCCTCTGCCGCCGCTGGCCGGCCGGGCCGGGGAGGCGCCCCCCTCGCCTCCCCCGCAGTGGAGCGGTTCCGGTGGCGCGCTGCTCCACTATCGCCCCCCATACCTGGCGTCCGTGTTCGGCGGCCGGTGACGCGGCTCGACTCGGCGCTGTCACGCCGCGCGCCCAAAGCCATGGCCGACGCCGGCGCCAGCGGATCGTGACGGCACCTGGCGGCGGGCGGCGCCGCGCCAGTCGTCGCCGCGACACGACCTGGGGAGGGGCCGCGAGAGGCTGCCGGAGGCGGTGCACGGCTCAGCCGCGGCGCAGGTCACGCGGCGCCGGTCACCTCGGCGCCATGGAGGAGGACCGCTTCCACAGGTCAGTGACCCGGCCGACCCCGCTTCCGGTGCGGATAATTGCCGTTTCCGGTGCGCCCTCGGTTTGCGCGGAGGACGCAGTTTTCCGGCGCTGGCATTTGACGCGGGCGCGGCTGCGTGACGCGCAGGACTGCACTTCGTCACAAGAGTCCACACGTCACACCGAGGGTCGCCCGGCGCCTCGTGAGGCACGTCTCAACCCCGCAGAAACGATAAAGCGTCCAGTGTTGCGGCCGCTTCAGGTACCTTTCGCTACTCCATTGGCATCAGAGCTTTGACCCCTCCATTTGGACGCGTTCGTGCCCGTGGCCCCACCGTAAAGGTGTATGTGTTGGGTTAGGGGAGGGGCCGAGGAGGGGGTGACGGAGAAGACAAGTGCTCGACGTTTTCGAGCTTAACCGTATGTTTTGAAGAGGATCACTCCAGAACCTCGACTCTACTACAACTTTTGATGATTGACAGAGCTCATGTTCACTGCTTGTCAGAAGAACCGCTGCAGTTTGGATAGACATGCCCCATTCTCAGGTTTTGCACGCTTGAGTGACAGTGTGGAGAGCTGCTTAAAGAATTCGCAACGGGGCATGCATCACCTGAAATATTGTACCCCTTGTAGATCGTCTTTCCAATGTGAAGGTTTCATTGAAATAGGGGTTCGGGTGTCAGGTGGAGCGCTAGATTTTGCGCAAGCTTTGCGGGTCTCAAATTCGGTGAAATGCATTCAGATCGTGCCGCGCGAGATATCCGTACCGCGCACAGTTTGAGAACGCCCAGCGTTTCATCCTCAATTTCGCTTGCCGCCCCTAGCCTACAACCACTTGGACCCCTTAACAATGATCTGGATCGTAGCGCTGACATCCCCGCTCCACTCAGTAGCTATCGCATTCAGGCAGTGCGTAACAAGGCCGGGTTTCGCGTCACGGAGGTGACGGCTGCGTGTCGGCAGCGTGGGATACAGTGGTCTGCTTACAACGCTTGAGCCACGGGAGCAAACGTGACGAGCCTGCGCCAATGTCGCCGTTAGCCTCGATCCCAGGTTTTCCATGAGCTCCCGCTCGACGCAGCTAGCATGGTGGCCCAGGGCCTGGGCTGGGCTGGGCTGGGCTGGGCTGGGCTGGGCTGGGCTGGGTTGGGCTGGGCTGGGCTGGGCTGGGCTGGGCTGGGCTGGGCTGGGCTGGGCTGGGCTGGCTGGCTGGGCTGGCTGGGCTGGCTGGGCTGGGCTGGGCTGGGCTGAGCTGGGCTGGGCGCCACAACAAATCTAACAACAGATTGCTTTGTTGTGAGCCGCAGTCGTGCTTTCACATGTGTGATTACGCTCCATCTGCTGCCGCTTGATCTGTTTGTTCGCCGGTCTAAATCTGTCTGGGGTAGCTCATGCGAGCCGGGCTCGAGCCGGAGGACGGCCTTCAATTTCACACCGGCTGGGGTACCCCTGAGCCGTGTCAGGGCCGGCCAGAACACTCCTGAGCCGTGTCAGGACCGGCCGGAACACACCTGAACCGTGTCAGGACCGGCCGGAGCACACCTGAGCCGTGCCAGGACCGGCCGGAACACACCTGGGCCGTGTGAGGACCGGCCGGGACACCTCTGAGCCGTGTGAGGACCGGTCGAGACACCCCTGAGCCTGCCACGGCCGGCCGGGACACTTCTGAGCCGTGTCAGGGCCGGCTGGGACACCCCTGAACCTTGTCAGGACCGATCGGGACACCCCTGAGCCGTGTGAGGACCGGCCGGGACACCTCTGAGCCCTGTGAGGACCCGCCGGGACACCTCTGAGCCGTGTGAGGACCGGCTGGGACACCTCTGAGATGTGTGAGGACCGGCCGGGACACCTCTGAGCCGTGAAAGGACCGACCGGGACACCTCTGAGCCGTGTGAGGACCGGCTGGGACACCTCTGAGACGTGTGAGGACCGGCTGGGACACCTCTGAGCCCTGTGAGGACCGGCTGGGACACCTCTGAGATGTGTGAGGACCGGCCGGGACACCCCTGAACCGTGAAAGGACTGGCCGGGACACCTCTGAGCCGTGTGAGGACCGGCCGGGACACCTCTGAGCCGTGTGAGAACCGGCTGGGACACCTCTGAGACGTGTGAGGAACGACCGGCACACCAGGGCCGACCGGGACACCTCTGAGCCGGCCTCATGCGCCAGCTCCGCCAGCGCCTCGGACCATATCCGGCTGGGGCACCACCACAGCGCAGCGACTGTGAGCAACGGTTTCGATTTCGCTAAAACGTCGCCTGCACAGGTGGGAGCAGACAGACGTGCGCCCGCCCAAAATACGGTCAAAATGTATGCCGTTAGTGGCCCAATTAGCCTGCGTCCGCTTACAAAGGTGTGGCTTTGCGTTTTAATTTCAGCTAAACCGCTCACGTATTTCCGGTTTGAGGGTGATTCCCGGCAGCGGCAATGACGTCACTTTTAGCGGTGCCTCACGTATCTGACCAAAAATGACGTGAGAGCGCGGCTAGTTGGAAAAGACCCATTCCGTGTACACTAGACGACTGACGTGCGAGCGCGGCCACTTGGGAGAGACCCATGCTGTGTATACTAGATTACGCCCGTCGTCCCGGCGGTAAAGCGCGTCTGACACTCTCCACGCATCACACATGATATTCTCCGAAATAAGATTACCAGGCTATTGGCACGGTCGGCACGGACGGAGGAACGCGCACGAAGCGAGCAGAGAAACTGGTGGCGGGAGAGGTTAAGCGCGCGAAGATCAGGACATCGGCATGCGTAAGTCTGGACACAGCGAGGACATCGGCATGCGTAAGTCTGGAAACAGCGAGGACATCGACATGCGTAAATCTGGACACAGCGAGGACATCGGCACGCGTAAGTCTGGACACAGCGAGGACATGGACATGCGTAAGTCTGGACACAGCGAGGGCATCGACATGCGTAAGTCTGGACACAGCGAGGACATCGGCATGCGTAAGTCTGGATACAGCGGGGACATGGGCATGTGCAACCCAGTGGGAATGTCGAGTGGGGTTGTCCAGTTTTCCTGCGACTTGGCTTACGATCATATAACTTGCTTGCTGACTTGCTCGCCATCGGTGTTAGTGGCGTAGTCAGGATTTCCCCCAAGAGGGGGCCAAATTGGGTCATATGGGCCCTTTCAGGCAAGGGACCTCGTCTTCGTCACTATAGGGGCCAAAATTATTAGGACCTTTTTGGGCTCGATGCCCCAATGTGACGCCACAGCCCTTGTATGTTTTAGAAGCCCTACGGACGTTTCAAACGGCCAAAGATTTCATGGGCCCTACCGCTTCAGCGGGACCGCCACTTCTAGGGAGAGGGTGGGGTAAGGCCCAAAGCTCACTCATGTTACGCCACTGATGTGGGTTACACGTGCATGGATCCGCATAGCCCGACGATGCTTCAGCGTGACTTAGACAGCATGTTTACACTAATGGCTGCCACTTGCCAACTTTTCAACATCGAGCGTCGTTCCTTCCACTTCCGTGCTTGGGTTTAAGTAGCTAAAGTGAGTAAAAACGTCTGGACCGGGCAATATGCTTAGGACACAGTTTTTTAATGCAATGGCGTAAAGTAGGGATTAATTACTCCAAATTTGAAAGCAACTTCCGAGTACGCCAGGTGGTTCAACAAATCTGCGCCGCTTTGCATTGCATTTGCATTGATAATCAGTTGCAAAAATTTAGAGTGCATCGCCTTTAGGTGAAGGTCACGTGTTTGACGGCACCAGTGAAGGCTTGCAGTTAGATTGTGGCCTCTGCATGAAATAGCCCAGTATTCTTTCTTATTGGAAGCCCAGTGTTATTTCTATTATTATTTCTATGATTAGCCCAGTATAATTTCTTATTTCCGGCCGACATCGTCATTGTTGCTGACTTTCCCAAGTCAGCAACAATGTTAAGGATTGCGCCAGATCGTCATCAGGTCATGTGAGGTCACTTTGCAAGTGTCGAACGAAAAAGATATTGCTCACTTTTAATATTTGTTGGCTGATTGTACGCATGGTTGGTTTTGAGCTCAAAGTGTTATTCTGAACAAAGTTCAAAATGGTACTTTGGTACATTCCAAACAGCAGAGGATGGGACATTTAGCGGTTCTCGGATGCAAAAATGTATAGCACCTCTCAGGTGTCATTTAGTTGCACTATCAATCTTGTTCAATATCAAGAACATCGTCATTACTTTACGGCGCACTCAGCTGCTGAGGCTGTTTGGGGTCGCCTGCTTCTTGCCCTGGCGGAAAGAGCGGGCTCCGCGGGGAATCGAACCCTGGACCTCTGGTTTCTCGGACATGCAGTGCTCATCAATATCAAGAACATCAAGTGAACACATGGATTGCTGAGTGGTTATGCAATCATTAATTAACTTTAAGGTGTCAGACTTAAGCTGCTCATCCGGATAAGGAATTACATTTTCGCTTTGGTTGCGCCATCTAGAGACACAGTTCGTTGAAATGTACGGGATGTACGCCCGAGAATATGCCTCTGACGCTTAAACATCTACATAGACATGACGGCGGATGAAATTCTACCCTTTATCATATATGCCAAACTTAAATCATAGACTAAAGGCACGTGGGTACAATATGTCAAAATAGCTTAAAGGAAGTGTTCCATACTTATATGGGGTTTTGAGCTGAAATCACCATCTTGAAGACCTTTCGGTGTTATTCATAATACCACCCTTCTTAAAACCAAGTCACTGTAGTTTCTGAGCCACACGCCCACGAAAATAGGGAGAGTATTTCAGGGTCACCTTGACACTCATGACGTCACAATGACGTCATTCAAATACTGCTATTTATTAAGCCATGCGGCGATCAAGGCCAGTTAATATGTAACGGTCGAAGCGTTTATGCCTGGAGTTCGTGAGCGATCGCGAGTGATTTTCAGACATACCGGCCGTCAACCGGCACTCAATGTTACTCAAGGTACGATGACATAATCAGAGCGTGGCGCGTTGATAGTCACGTTTACTGAACACGGAGTTGCACTGCCAAGAACAGTCCTTACTACTTTAAAAAATGTGCCAATGATCATAAATGAGCTTGTTTCATCATGTCTGATCATGTTTCATCATGATCATGTTTCATCATGCTTGCGTCAATATATTCAAAGTTGAAACACCCCCCTTAAAAAGGCTCCTCCCTGTTTTCTCTTCTCCTTTTTGCGGCCGACATCAGCTCACGGAGCAAGACATCAGCCACCCACCATGCGACACGTATATCAAAGAAGCCTGAAACCTTTGAATTATTCAAGATCATCAGTCGACTGACCTCAGGGTCACTGACAGCGGATCCGTGTGCCCGTCAGCTGGCGTCAGACGGATCCGTGTGCCCGTCAGCTGGCGTCAGACGGAGCCGTGTGCCCGACAGCTGGCGTCAGACGGAGCCGTGTGCCCGTCAGCTGGCGTCAGACGGAGCCGTGTGCCCGTCAGCTGGCGTCAGACGGATCCGTGTGCCCGTCAGCTGGCGTCAGACGGAGCCGTGTGCCTATGAGCTGGCGTCAGACGGATCCGTGTGCCCGTCAGCTGGCGTCAGACGGATCCGTGTGCCCGTCAGCTGGCGCCAGACGGAGCCGTGTGCCCATCAGCTGGCGTCAGACGGAGCCGCGTGCCCGTCAGCTGGCGTCGGACGGATCCGTGTGCCCGTCAGCTGGCGTCAGACGGAGCCGTGTGCCCGTCAGCTGGCGTCAGACGGAGCCGTGTGCCCGTCAGCTGGCGTCAGACGGATCCGCGTGCCCGCCGGCCGGCATCAGCCGACTGACCTCAGGACGTGGTCAGGTGACGTGTTCGGCTGGCGTGTCGCTCCGGTGCTTCGAGCCGATAGCGTCGCAATCTTATCCGGGCGGGTCGTCCTGCACGGCTGTCGGGGCGCGCGCGGCGCCGCCAGATAGCCGGCCCACCCGCTGCGAGGTGGCCTTATAGGGACGCTCCTCACAGTCAGCGCCGATGGGGCGGCTGTGATGGCCCTGTTTGCAGCTATGTGTGGCTGGCCCTGACGGACATGGCCGGCCGCGCAGGGACTGACCAGGGGTTACTGTCCAGAGCCGCAGGGACTGACCAGGGGTTACTGTCCAGAGCCGCAGGGACTGACCAGGTGTTACTGTCCAGAGCCGCAGGGACTGACCAGGGGTTACTGTCCAGAGCCGCAGGGACTGACCAGGGGTTACTGTCCAGAGCCGCAGGGGGCTGACCAGGTGTTACTGTTCAGAGCCGCAGGGGGCTGACCAGGGGTTACCGTCTAGGGCCGCGAGACTCGATGAAGATTGTTGGAGCATGTTAACATTGGTCTCATTCGCCTCGGAGCAATACTGTAGGATATTCGCTTTTAGAGCGCTTGATGTAATTAAGGGATAATGCGTCTTTATCGGTCATCATTTTATTGGAACACCAATGCCATTCTTCTGCTCTAATCGCACTCTCTCATAAGTCGGTCCAGGAAAAGCTAAATACGAAACACAAACAAAAAACGAATATGTGCTATTTAGATCCAAAGCGCCTGGGGCAAATGCCTTTCGAGGATAGCTTACGGCAGCAGGTAACGGTAACTCGTGAAAAAGCCCGTAATCGGGGCCACCTTTGAAAGTAATGACTGTATCTTAATTTTACGCCTCGTTTAAGTGTACAGACAGCTGATGTGTGGCCGGAGCAGCCCGGAACACGCTCATCTTTCGGTTCACACGACCGCACGTCTTAGTGTGGTGATTTATCATGTTCGGTTAGGTGGAGTCATCCGGGTGTGATAGTGTCCCTCTGTCTGATGAGGTGGAGTCGTCCGGGTGTGATAGTGTCCCTCTGTCTGATGAGGTGGAGTCGTCCGGGTGTGATAGTGTCCCCTCTGTCTGATGAGGTGGAGTCGTCCGGGTGTGACAGTGTCCCTCTGTCTGATGAGGTGGAGTCGTCCGGGTGTAGTAGTGCTCCACTGCCTGATGGGGGAAGCGTCTGGGTATGGTGGTATCCCACTGTCTGATGAGGTGGAGTCTTCCGGGTGTAGTAGTGCCCCACTGCCTGAGGGGGGGGGGGGGCGGAGCGTCTGGGTGTGATAGTGTCCCTCTGTCTGATGAGGTGGAGTCGTCCGGGTGTAGTAGTGCCCCACTGCCCGATGGGGGGAGCGTCTGGGCGTGGCGGTATCCCACTGTCTGGTGAGGTGGAGTCTTCCGGGTGAAGAATTGTCCCACTGTCTGATGAGGTAGGGTCGTCCGAGTTAGTGTCCCATTGTCTGATGAAGTGGAGTCGTCTGGGTGTAGTTGTGCCCCACTGTCTGATGAGGTGGAGTCTTCCGGGTGTAGTGGTGCCCCACTGTCTGATGAGGTGGAGTCGTCTGGGTGTAGTGGTGCCCCACTCTCTGATGAGGTGGAGTCTTCCGGGTGTAGTGGTGCCCCACTGTCTGATGAGGTGGAGTCGTCCGGGTGTAGTAGTGCCCCACTGCCCGATGGGGGGAGCGTCTGGGCGTGGCGGTATCCCACTGTCTGGTGAGGTGGAGTCTTCCGGGTGAAGAATTGTCCCACTGTCTGATGAGGTAGGGTCGTCCGAGTTAGTGTCCCATTGTCTGATGAAGTGGAGTCGTCTGGGTGTAGTTGTGCCCCACTGTCTGATGAGGTGGAGTCTTCCGGGTGTAGTGGTGCCCCACTGTCTGATGAGGTGGAGTCGTCTGGGTGTAGTGGTGCCCCACTGTCTGATGAGGTGGAGTCTTCCGGGTGTAGTGGTGCCCCACTGTCTGATGAGGTGGAGTCGTCTGGGTGTAGTAGTACCCCACCGTCTGATGAGGTGGAGTCTTCCGGGTGTAGTGGTATCCCACTGTCTGATGAGGGTGAGTCGTCTGGGTGCAGTAGTGCCCCACTGTCTGATGAGGTGGAGTCGTCCGGGTGTAGTAGTGTCCCAGTGTCTGATGAGGTGGAGTCGTCTGAGTGTGGTAGTGCCCCACGGTCTGATGACGCGGAGTCGTCTGAGGCTCGCGCGCTGCTGCGTCTTCCTGTTGTTTAAACAGCGCCGCACACTGCCGCTGACGTAGTTCCGGCCGTCCAAGGCTGCTGCACAGGGCTGTCTTGCAGGCGAAACCTGAGGCATTGTTACTGCGTGGCAAACACAGCGTCCCAGCAGGGCACAGGGACCACAAACCAGCTTAACGCATGTCGTCGCTTGTTCTTCGCGGGGTCGGGGGGGGGGGGGACAGGCACGATGCACTGATGTGGTAGTCTTGGAATGGGCCAGCGAGAGACGAAAGCTTGCGGTTGTACGGCGTGTCAACGGTGCGCCACAGAGGCACGATGCTGCATGAGGTGGAATTTTGGTACGTTGTTTAGTGACCGCAAAAACCGGGCCCTGTATGACAACGGCAGCGGTAACGGAATGTGTGTCCGGCTCGCCTGACCTGATGTCGGCCTTGCCTGGGTCGACATCGGGTCCTGCCCCTATGTCGGCCCGCGCCCATCTGACCACGATCAGAGACCATACATAATGTTGGCGGCCTGAGTGGGCTGTACTGATGTACTTGTGACCTGAATGGGCTGTACTTCTGTGCTGATGAAAGCAGACAGTGTGGCACTGTTTGTCGACTTCAGCTGCCGGCTGGCGGTGGTGTTTGACTAGGGCTGAACAGCTCCGCTGTAAGAGCGCCGCATGCCACCGGCCAGTTCTCACTCCGCGTGTCGGCGGAGGGACCTGACCTGGGGCCAACACCAGGTGTGACCTCTAACTGTACCGTCAGCGCCCTTCACCCACTGCTTCGGACTGGTTTTACGTAACTCGACACGCCACCTTTGTTGTTACCGACTGTCGTTAGAAGGCTGTGCCCAGCGTCATACATTCTGGAGCAGGCTCGACTGTCCACCCTGCTTAGCCTACCTCCCTGGTCTGTGAGGCACCGTTTGTTTTGGCCATATTTGAAGGAGGTGTGTGACGAGCAGTAGCGCGCCACGAGCTGCATCACACAGCTTTAAACGCGTAACGTGTAATGAATTGGCCAGCACTATTGCATATACTGACAAAAAATACAACTAGATAAGGCAGTAGCCTTAGGCTTATTCCCCAGAGAAAAACCAGGAGAATGGATATATAGTTGGGTTCTGTGCTGGTTCTGACGTAATTCCGGTCGTCCAAGGCTGTTGCACAAGGCTGTCTTGCAGCCTTGTGCAGCAGCCTTGACCCAACTATATCTCCATTCTCTTGTTTTTTTTTCTCCGAGGAATAAGGCTAACACTACTGTCTTATTTATGTTAATAACGTTCCTCACTAATGAACTGAACAACTTACATAAAAATAAAACTGTACAAGCAAAACTGAAAGCCACCGAATGGGCATTTTCGAGTTTCACGCCAACTTCTGAGATTAAATCTCATCTGTTCCAATCGGCAGCCATCTCACCTGTTCCAATCGACAACTATCTCATTTATTCTGATTGACAGCCATTTCACCTGTTCCGACCAGCAGCCATCTCACCTGTTCCGATCGACAGCCATCTCACCTGTTCCAATCGACAGCCATCTCACCTATTCCGATCGACAGCCATCTCACCTGTTCCGATCGACAGCCATCTCACCTGTTCCAATCAACAGCCATCTCACCTATTCCGATCGACAGCCATCTCACCTGTTCCGATCGACAGCCATCTCACCTGTCCTGATCGGCAGCCATCTCACCTGTTCCGACCGGCAGCCATTTCACCTGTTCCGACCGGTAGCCATTTCACCTGACGCGACAATAGGCTCTCCCGGACCCGGCTAAGCCTGTGCTTTACCAGCCTCCCCTTCTTTCCCGCCTAGACCGTAAATGAACCTGACATGAGCACTCTCTCTTGTCGTGACCTGACCTAACCTGATGTGACCTTTGATGACTTGGCACGACCTCTCACCAGGGCCGCTCGGGACGGCTATCTGGACCTGCTGCACGAGGCGAGCAAGCGCGACTGCAATGCGCAGGATGAGGATGGCATGACGCCGACGCTGTGGGCCGCCCACGAGGGACACCTGGACGCGCTCCGACTGATCGCCGGCCGTGGGTAAGCGCTCCCAATGATCGCCGTGATCGCCGGCTGCGGGCAAGTACTCCCAGTGATCGCCCACCGGCCGCGAGTAAGCACTCCCAATGATCGCCACTATCGCCGGTCGCGGGTAAGCGCTCCGAGCGACCGCTGGCTGCGGATGATCAGTTTTGCCCCTAGGTAGCGTCCCACACCCTCCAGCGCAGGCACGCGCCGAGCTATGGCCCCGCAATGGGGTCGCAGCTCAGCTGGCAGCCGACCGACACAGCTCCGCACAGCCGAGTAAGCAGTGCTCAGTTTGGCCTTGCAAGTCCCGCTCAGTTCGGGCCTGTAAGGCACGCTCTGCTCAGTCTTGTAAGCCATGCTCGGTTCGGCCCTGTGAGGCACGCCCTGCTCAGTCTTGTAAGCCGTGCTCGGCTCGGCCCTGTAAGGCACGCTCTGCTCAGTCCTATAAGCCGTGCTCGGTTCGGCCCTGTAAGGCACGCCCTGCTCAGTTCTCGTGCTCGGTTCGGCCCTGTGAGGCGTGCTCGGCTCGGCCCTGTGAGGCGTGCTCGGCTCGGCCCTGTGTGGCTGAGGCGTGCTCGGCTCAGCCCTGTAAGCCATGCTCGGTTCGGCCCTGTGAGGCACGCCCTGCTCAGTCTTGTAAGCCGTGCTCGGCTCGGCCCTGTAAGGCACGCTCTGCTCAGTCCTATAAGCCGTGCTCGGTTCGGCCCTGTAAGGCACGTCCTGCTCAGTTCTCGTGCTCGGTTCGGCCCTGTGAGGCGTGCTCTGCTCAGTCTTGTAAGCCGTACTCGGCTCGGCCCTGTAAGGCTTGATCGGCTCGGCCCTGTAAGGCGTGCTCGGCTCAGCCCTGTAAGGCATGCTCGGCTCGGCCCTGTAAGGCGTGCTCGGCTCAGCCTTGTGAGGCGTGAGGCGTGCCTGTGAGGCGTGCTCGGCTCAGCCATGTAAGCCGTGTTCGGCTCAGCCCTGTAAGGCGTGCTGGCTCAGCCCTGTGAGAAGTACTCGGTTCGGCCCTGTAAGCCGTGCTCGGCTCAGCCCTGTGAGGCATGGCCTGCTCAGGCCTGTAAGCCGTGCTCGGCTCAGTCCTGTAAGCCGTACTCGGCTCAGCCCTGTAATGCACGCTCTGCTCAGTCTTGTAAGCCGTGCTCGGCTCAGCCTTGTGGGGCGTGGTTGGCTCAGCCTTATGGGGCGCGGTTGGCTTATCTGGTGAAGTCCTTCTCGGTCCCAAATCCTTTAACTATCGGATGCATCGCAGCCAGGGCCAGAGCATGAACGTTAACCTGGGCGGCCACAGCTTATCCGACTGAAGCGAGGCTTTGTGGACGCATCGCACGCTGCCAGTGCATTGTTCCGAGCCTTCGGCGTGAAGCCCCGTAGGTCGCGTGGGCTTGCCAGAGTCGTGGGATACAAACATCGGGGAAACCAAAACGCGGCTTCCCCTGAGCGCAATTAGGCTGCACGTCGCTCGTTATTTTTACCTTTTGGGGCAGTGTGCGATAGATTCCATGCCTTGTCTGAGGCGTTGATAGTCCATTATCAGTTGGAGACTTTTTCACTCCGCCACAGCAAAACAGCTACTATACGTTTAATTTACTTTATTTGAGAAGCTACCTGAACTCCGAAGTAACCCCATGCGGAGGCAACCACACGCTGGTTGGATTGATATTTCAACATCGCTGATAAGACATCCCATTTACAATGCCCGTATCTTCCGTATGCCGTTCTAACTGATGTCTGCCGCTTATCGGCGCTCTCCAGAGCTGAAGCGTCGCGCAGCTGAAGCCTGGCGACTCACTTCGAGGGTACCGAAGGGTATGGGGTAGCCTTATCGGTGGCTGCATCCTGAGGTCATCCGAACCCAGAAACTAACGGATAGGTACTGATTGGTTGTATGCTTGGGCGCTTCTGTCCATGACCTGGGTGCGTTTTAGCTGGAGTTCACCAATACATTCGTGGTGTTGATGTGTGACAAACAGAGCAAATGTTGGTGAATGTATAAAGAGGCACGATACAACGGGGGAGGCTTTAAAGCAGACCGTCCGTTCTTCCCACATGTCTTGAAGGGAACTGGATGCCTACAGCTCACATGCGATAAGTCTTCATATCCCTTCAGATCGGTATTCAGATCAGTCCTCGGATCGGCCCTCGGATCGGTCCTCGGATCGGTCTTTGGATCGGCCCTCGGATCGACCCTCGGATCGGCCGTCGGATCGGTCCTCGGATCGGTCCTCGGACCGGCCCTCAGATCGGTCCTCGGATCGGCCCTCAGATCGGCCCTCGGATCGGTCCCTCGGATCGGCCCTCGGATTGGCCCTCGGATCGGTCCTCGGATCGGTCCTCGGATCGGTCCTCGGATCGGTCGTCGGATCCGGTCCTCGGATCGGTCCTCGGATCGGCCTTCAGGTGTTACGTCTTCCGTGCATCGTTTATTTTAGACAATGCTTACACTCCAGAAGTGGTGACCGCTTGATCACCTGGTGCCTTGGCCGACTTCACTTACTGGGCCATACCGCCCTCCCCCCCCCCCCTCCATCAAAAAAAAACTTGCGTGGACGTAATGATAGAGGGGTGACGTCACTGCCTCGCGTGTCAGACGGTCGTCAATCTTCCAGGATAATTTGGTTTCGTCTGACGGCCGACGAAAAATGGCAGCGGAAGTGAAACGATGCCAGTTGCTGGCAGCTTACACGTGTGGTCGTTGGGGACACGACCCAATTTCAAAGCGACCATGTGCTTTTCTGCTGTGCATTATTTCATTCTGATGTACTTATGTCACCTAGGTGGATTGGAGTACGGAAAGAACCACACCGCTATGACGATGCATGCGGCTTGCAATGCTCAGGCAGAGAGTAGCATCGTATCTACTAGACGTGCTTTTCTCGAAACATGCTGAAACACACGTTGCGCACAAAGTGGCCAAACTGCTAACGAATCCAATAAGTATGGCATGGCAAACTGTTTTACTGAGCGTCGGTAATGCAGCTGGTGTGCCTGCTCCTTTTGCTAGGCAAATTAGAGGCTCATGACCATAACGACTTGAAGTTTGCAACAAATTTGTACGATTCTAACCAGTTGCTGTCTCTTTTTGTACGTCATTTCGCCACCGACTGTAACGATGCGATTTCGTCCAGGCATTCCTTGCCAGGTGACCTTTGCCTCTGGCTGCATGATCTCCGCCTCTGAACACATCCTTCCCCGGTAATCTCCACCTTTGACTGACCCTTCTCCGATGACCTGCGCCTCTGACTGCATCCCTCCACGGTGACCTCCCCCTCTGACTGCATCCCTCCCCGGCGAGCTCCACCGCTGACTGATCCCCCCGGCGACCTCCGCCTTTGACTGCATCCCTCCGCGGTGACCTCCGCCTCTGACTGCATCCCTCCGCGGTGACCTCCGCCCCTGACTGTATCCCTCCGCGGTGACCTCCGCCTCTGACTGCATCCCTCCGCGGTGACCTCCGCCTCTGACTGCATCCCTCCGCGGTGACCTCCGCCTCTGACTGCATCCCTCCGCGGTGACCTCCGCCTCTGACTGCATCCCTCCGCGGTGACCTCCGCCTCTGACTGCATCCCTCCGCGGTGACCTCCGCTATGCCTGCATCCCTCCTCGGTGACCTCCGCCTCTGACTGCATCCCTCCGTGGTGACCTCTGCCTCTGACTGCATCTCTCCGCGGTGACCTCTGCCTCTGACTGCATCCCTCCGCGGTGACCTCCGCCTCTGATTGCATCCCTCCGCGGTGACTTCTGCCTCTGACTGCATCCCTCTGCGGAGATCTCCGTCACCGGCGGCGCCTCTCGCCGTGCGTTGCGAGACGCGGTGGCCGTGACGCGACGGCACAATGTGGCTCCGTGCGGCGCGGCGCCGCCTGGCTGCGGCCCGTCATGCCGCGGTGACGCCGCCGGAGAGCCGGCGACACCTGGGCGGTCAGCTCGCCGCTGCTGGCTCCTCCGAGTACCGGGACGACGCCGCACTCCGCGCCTCGCTCCCTCACTCCTTGGGCCGCCGGGGCGTCTGCTTCACGTCACTGCTGGTCCCAAGGCTGTACTGGTGTCGGGGCAGTGCTGACTGCTGGGCTGCTCCGGCGCCGAGTGGCGGAACGGTCACAGCGTCTGCACCTCGTTCTCGAGTGCCGGAATGGCTCCAGCTTTTGCAGATTGCTTTGATGCTCTCTTGAGTTTCGGCTCAGTCCGGGCGTCGGCACACTGCTCCCTGAGCCTCGGAGCGGTCATGCATGCCTTCTGCATGCTTCCTGCCTGCTCCTTAACTCCAGAGGCGGCCCCAGTGTCTGCGCATTTCCCATTGGACTCCCGGCTCAGTCTTGGCGTTCGTACGCGGTTGCCTGCAGGTGCTGGGGGAAGGCGTGGTGAGCTCATAAAGCCCGTCTCGATCACACCGCCAGCGGACACTGACCGACCGGCTCCCTTTCCTCTTCCTCATGCACACCGAATCTTGCAGTCTATCGGCTTCACGTGACTAGCCGTGCAGCCCCGCCTGTAACCGGGAAATATGCTACTCCAATGGGATTCGAACCCGGTGCTTGAGTGTTCAACAGCCATGATACAATTGAAGCACGTTTAAAAATTGGTTGAGGCCATTCGCTCACCATTGTCCGTGTTGTGTGTGAGTGTTCTTATCTCACATTCGTATCTAAGTTCGTTGACTTCATCTCATTCTAGGCCACCTTCATCAACAACAGACAAACTAAGGCATTACCATGCCTCGGGATGGCAGTTGGGCATCCACAAATGATCGGACGATGTTTCTCGCGGTTTCGACGTGAAAGCGTACACGTGTATACCATGCGTTGATTTCGAGCGTCTTCTTGGGTAAGGACTTGCGTTAGGTGGTCCACAGCGCCTCCAAATTTCCCACGGTCTCCAATCACACGAGACCGGCCCGGCCGACCGCGGGGGGGAGGGACGGAGGGGAGAGGGACGTCAGGCCTTTCCCGCGGTATCGGATGACAGACCTGGGACATTTCCCCCAACCGGTCTCACGGAGCAGCTGAAGACCTGTC